TATCTCATTTAACTCATTCTCTCAGCTTCTAAAGTGTTAACTCCTAGTGAGGTTCTCTGTACTACGAAGAGACAGCAGAATCTTAGTGAGATCCCCCACGTCTTACAGCCTGGCTTCTCCCGCATGGTTGGCCATTGCTAAAACACACAGAACTGCAAGAAATGCTAAAAGCAATGTGTTCAATTGAACCCGATGTCCATTTGCATTTCTCATGTCCAGAAACAAAGGTCACTTGGAGTTTTTCGCTTCAAGCTTTAGCACAGAGTCCACACCATTTGGAACAGCACAACAAGAGCCTTTTTTTTTCCTCTCCAGTAAGGAGCTTTTTCAGAAACCCTCCCATCTTCTTGCTTGTGGATCTATTTTCACAACAGAAGTTGAAAGTCACTTCCGCACACTAGTTTCTCTCTAGTTCTCCCATTTTCTCACTGTCTCAAGCCATTAATACTAGAGAGGAAGCTTGATGGTACAAACCAACTCCATCTTCTCCCTCCAGCTCCCGGACTGAACCGGGACACCCATATGGTTAAGGCATCAGATGGAGCCACAGGATGTTCTGGTTGAACTATTTGCTCTGCTACAGATTTTGATGAGATCCTTGGAAACTCGCTGCCTCAGTTCCTCCTATTAAACCCAAACGATGCATTAAGGCAAACACATCAAAGGTTCTGTGGGCACAATAAGCAGAAATAACACAAATATCAAGTGAAACTTTGGGTTAGAAGAGCAAGAACTCATTCTTGCTTCTCCCCCAAAGAGCCTACCTGTAAACTCTTGCAGAGGAGACACTCTTTTTCCCTTTCTTAATAAAATCCAGTAATACAAACAAAAGAGGTAGCTACAACCCTATCTATAGATGGAGTCAATGAAGACACTTTCAGTCATGCATATGAACTAAGCTATTAAGTTTAATAAAAGCTTATATTGCTAAATATTGTATTTGACAGTAGGGTAGTGAGTTTTCCAAATGCATCAGCAAACAGACCTATGTCTGTTGGAAAGCAAACTTGTGCAAGTTATGCCAATATTTAATTTTCTTTTTCATTTCCTTCTACACGTTTGTAAGGACAAGCTTCCCTCCTCTTCCAAGGAAAGTCCTTCTCCATCCCCTACTGGTCACTTCTCTTCTGCTTGTCTATTGCCAACGCTTTTAATACAAAAACATTCTCACGATTTCGATGTTGAAATCGAGGATGTTGCAATAGCACTGTTGATCTGCTGTTCTTTCGTTTTCCCATTTCAGTAGAAGTCACAGTTTCCAACTCACTGATAGTGCAGAGGGTTAGCATGGAATCCAAGACTTAGTTTGCTCTTGTTTCACAAGCCATGAGTCTCAGCGTCTGCTGATGCAAGAGATAAGACATGCTAACTGCCAAAATTAAGGTATTCCAAGGAACAGATGACTAAAGAAAGCACTTCTAAAAAGCAAACTCCCCAACAAATGCATAAGAGGTGTCAACAGGACCCATAAAATCATCTGTTCTTGATGCTACACTTCAGAAATTAGCAAAATAGTCAAAATACCTATAAAGATTGATTTATAAGGAGTTGTGCATCAGAACAGGATAGAGTTCTGTGCTTCCTGGAAGATCTCTCTTAATTCAGCTCACCTTTGAGGTTTAAAGCATCTAATTTAACCCTTGTCTGCACAAGAAAATCCATGCCACTTAGCCAAGCAATGCTTGGACGGCTTTATATAAACTAAAACCAAGACCTCTAGATGCTCTTAGCATTCATTAAGCACTTGTTTAAATCAGCGTGTCACATAGCCATCATTTACTGAGGAACCCTGCTTTTTGCATGCCTCTGCAGGTCTGTTAGCTGAACCTGTCCATTTAAAATCTGACTTCTTAAACAGTGCTGCACCTTACAGCTTGAATCTCAGGAATTACACAATGTAGTTTCTGCAGATAAGCAGCTACCTCATGTTAGTGTCTCTCCTACGCTTCTTTGTGCACATACTCCTTCCCTCTTGCATGGCAAGAGAAGTGATTTCTGTTCAGGTAGCTTGCTCCACGCCAAGAGGGATTAGAGAGACCGTGCATGCCAGCAGAGCCGATAAGGTATCAACTTGTCAGTCAGGGCAAACGCTCAGCCTCCAAAATGCAGAACCTTGCACAGCTACTACCTCTGCGAGAAAGAAAACCACAACAGCTCACCTGTCCTGAGCTCAGTTATTTGCCAGCAAAGACATCTAATTGCCCACCTGCGAGCGTTACAGGTTAGTGGGGTACAGACTCTTCCCTAGCTCCTATGATAAAACAAAGTAGAAGTAGGAAAACCTAAGGTTCCCCATATTAGGGGTTTGGAAAGAAAGTGGAAAAGTTGATTTACCCCTGAGGGCTATAGTCCAATTTCAAAAACATAAAGAGCTGCAAGAAAACCTAGACCGCATAAGAAAAGGCTGAGATACAGCACATCACTCCTACAGGCGTTTCAATCCATACTTTCTATTTTGGTAACACCATCAGCTGTTTAACCCACAGGTTTGTATTTTCACAGCACGGTGAAGGAGTTCAGAAGGTCATACAGCAATATCTGAAGCTTAGTAGGCTGGAAGTCAGCTTTTGATTGAAGCAGTATCAACAGCATCCTAATTCTGCCCTTTTTTCTTGCACTGTATTCCTGGTTTTCACAATAAAGGATTTACACTAATTACACAATGCTGACTCACATCAGAAACGTGCTGGAGCACAGCTGAAAGATGTGGTAGATACCATTAACTTTTATGCAAAACGAGCCAAACAAATCCATTTTCTCATGCTGCTAAACACTGCTTTAACAGCCAAAGGCTCTGTACTAACAGTACTTGATACATTAACACAGTAGCTGCAACAGCAGACGCATTCATCTCCGTAAGCCACCATATGTTTTGAAATGAAACCTCAGATAAGGATCAAGATAGTTTCCATCTCCCACAACCTAACAGGGATTGAAAGACTTCACCCCTGTAATACTTTTTTGAGGAAAAAAAAAAAACAAAAAACAAAACCACAAGTTTCTGCACTTGAAATACACGGGGCCTATTCTTGCTCTTTGACAGCAAGAAACGGAGTTGTATTGCAGCATCTCTCCAAAATGAAAGTTACTTGAGTTTAGGAGATACCCATAGCTATGGTACTGCCTAGTCAGACAGACAGAACAGTTTAGGAACTGTCACTGAAAGCAACAACTTTTCCTCAGTTTCACAGAATTACAAAACAATTGAGGTTAGGATGGTTCTCTGGAAACCCCAAGCCCCCTAAAATTGACCTTGTCCTTTCAGCTGGAAGCCTCCCTTTACTTTCCTGCCCCAGTAATCAACACACGGCTGCTCAGACCACACCATTTTACAATATGCTCCACAGCAGGGCAACTTAATTAAGAATGATCCTCCCTCTGTTCTTTCCACCCCTGCAGTATGCTCTTCTCTCTTGCTCGAAGACACAAGTTGCCCAGATTTACCACCTGCTCCAATACTTCTGTTCTTCTCATCTGTTTGACCTTGCCCTGCTCCACACACATGCACTTTACCTGCAACAGAAACTTTTGTGTCTGTAGCATTTCCTATTAAGAAGATACTTTGTATAGAACAGTTTGCTACATTAACAATTCACCACTATTTCCCTTGCCAGGCTGTTTTGGGGGCTTTTTTCCTCTAAGAAGCCTGAGTCACACGTACTGTTATTTTACACCGCTATGAGAAGGATGACCCAAACTCACCAACTCCCATCAACACAGCTGCTTACCAGGAATTCCTTCCAGTTTTACACCCATGTATAACTGGGGTATTGACACGCCTGCTCCAAAGCAAAGTGATCATACAGCAGAAGGCACGCACCAGGCCCTGAAACCTGCAGCGAGAACCTCTTAACCCAAAACGTGTCACGTAGCCTGCTGGTTTCCTCCTCCAAGGCTGCGAGACGAAGGCTCATTAGAGCTGCAGTGCTATTTCTTCCCTTCCCTGCTGCAGAAGAGCTCCTGAAACTCCACAGGAGCTTATCTTACCCTGAGACGAGGAAGAGCTTATGCAGAAGGCACGCAGTTCTTCAGAGCCGGTTTTACTGGGGGAAGCCAATCACTTGCTAATCAAAAGCCTCTTATCTGGAACCACCTGGGCCGTTAGGATGATACAACGGGGCCTAGGAACCCCAGCCAGGTGGTTTTGTACGTGCAGAGACGTTCTCCAGAAGGCAGCAAGGCAGAGACACAGCCAGGAGAGCTGGGTGCCATCCCCCCCGAGCCCTCAGGTCCGCTTACGCTAACCGGGGATGCCTGCGAACAGTTCCCCATTAAGACGGGATCCATAAAATAAATAAATAAAAGGCAGATGCTAGCTTAGAAAGTATTCGAAATATTTCGTGTCGCTTACAGGCTGCTGTAAGTGAGGACAGATGGGACGGGGTCCTAGCTGAAAAGCATTTTTAAGAGAAATCAGGTGGATCAGCAGAGAGCTGCTGCCCACCTGTGTGGTTAGCGCCCTGGCGTGAGGAGGTTTCACCGCTGTTGGAAGCAGAAAGCCACACTCCCAACGTAATAAAAGGGATAAAACACAGATTATTCACAGAGCAGCAGCAAAACCAGGCCCCGATTTGGGGGGATTTTCCCCTGGGAAGAGCAGGGGCTGCACCGCCGAGCCTTTGAGGCCACTGTCCCCAGGGAGGGCACGGCGACACGGGGCAGGTGGCGGCACAGGCACCGTGAGCCCCCCGGGTTCAAGAAGAACCTGAGGGGGGGCTGCTGCTGTCGGCTGCCACCATCCCACCCCGCAGCCCCCTCCAGGAGCCGCAGACCGAAGAGGAAAATCCCCTACGGCAGCGCCGAGGGCTGGAGCCAGGCGAAACAGCCTGAGGGGGGCAGAAAGGGAGCCGCGATGTCGCCGAGCCCGCGCTGGAAGCCACGGGAACGACAAACGAGATGAAAATCCAGCGACCCCAAGGCAACCAGGGACCGATCGGGTCCCTCATTCCCCCTTCCCCGGGGCTACCCTTCAGCCCCGCCGCCGGTCCCCCCGCACTCACCGCGGCGGCGGCATGGTCCCTCCGCCCGCCCCCTGCCCTCGGTGGTGGCGGCGGCAGCAGCTCGCCCCACAGCAGCACCACGTAACCGCTGCCTCCTCCTTATTCTCCTCCTCCTTTTTTTTTAATCTTCCTCCCCCTTTTTTTCTTCCTCCTCCTCCTCTTCCTCCCCCACGTGACGCGGCCGGGGCGCGGCCGCCATGACGGGGGGGGCTGAGGCGGCTCGAGAAGATGGCGAGCGCTGTGGGCAGAGGGCTTGTGGCAGGGTTTTTCGCCCTCTTTTTCTCCTCGATGAACCGTGCGTGGCTCCGAAGCACCTCAGGGGGTCGGGTTCAGTCTCCCCACCCTGGGGTTAAGGTTGGGTTTGTTCGTTTTTAGTACCCCCGAGCTGCTGTACATCTGCACAGCCCTGAGGGTGATAGCCAGAAGCTCGCTCGCAGTTTTTTCTAAGGACAAAAACCCTCTCCAGTCCCTCAGCTTTAAGCTTTATGGTCTTAAAGGGTGTCTGGAAGTGCTTGTGGGGCTCTGAAGGGGAGAAAAGAGGCAGCTGGAGGTCAGGGTGGCAGGGGATGTCTGGGTTAAATAGCGTGGGTTTCCTTGCCGTGGAGTAATCTGGTCTGTGTGGGACTAATTTCATCCCCTGATGAAATTACAAATACCTGCCTGACGCTAGCAGCTGCCCTAGCAGAGAATATTCAGTAGCTCCTCTGAAATTTGTTCTTCTTTCTGTGTATAATTAGTATTAAACTGTGAGAAAGAACAGGTCTAGAGGTTGATGGGTTAGTTGCCTAGAAAACAAAAGTCTGAAATCGAGCCCCAACTGTTCATTTATAAAGTTATTATTACTCTTATACTTCTGACCCAGTGATTATCACCTGCAGAATGGAGCAGTTCGGCAGGAAGACGAAGAAAGCTGACGAAGAAGCTGAGAGAAATCAACCACAACAATGCTGAAATAACCTGCGCGTGGCAGTTAAAGCACACCTACCGGGACAAGAGTTGACATCCTGCCAGGTGGAAAGGAGTGTTGAACCCTCAGATCTTTCAGATCCAGAGGAAAAGTGATCTAACCACTGATTTTCAGACAAAAGAGTGGTGGGGCAGCTTCACCACTCACCTGTATTTGTGCAGAACCTGACTTGGCAGGTGTCCTTTGAGGAGTGATGCTGGAAGGCATCTTGAGTTTGTAAACCCTGGCAAGGTTTAGGAATGAACTAAGTGTTGACTTCCTCAGCATAGTCAGGACTGGAAGCTTTTCTGAGTATACCCACATGCAAAAACTTGAGCTGCCTGCATCTTTTGCTTGCTGCTGAATGACATTTTGAGGATGACAGGTTTTATTTTAGTGAAGTGCAAATTAAACAACGTTGACGCACCTGAGTCCATTGTTTGGAGCATATTGGCCCTGGTATTCAGACATTACAACAAGGTGCTTCATAATAACACAAACAGAACAGAATAACAGAACTTGTCAAAAAAAACTGTAGCTACAGCATTGAAGTACAGGGACCAAAAGGGCAGCATGTAATCAGAAGCTCCAGTAAGAGAAAAAAAGGAGTGACAGTCCATGGAAGGGTTAGCTGGCAGATGGCAAGGAGGCAGCAGTGATCAAGATGAAAGTAATATGTGCAATTAAATGAGATAGCCATATAGTTAGCATCTCCATCAGCCAGCTTCTCATAATTCCTATTTCATAATGGCTAATATACAGCTTTGATCTCTCATTCGTAATAATTTAGCCTGAGGATTGTAGGTGTGTGTTAAGCTGTTTTAAGTAAAAGCAGCCTCAGTGCATATGCTATCTTCTTTCTGCAGAATGATTATCCTTGTAGTCCTTCTAGTTTGGACAGTTCTTCCCTACCCTGTAATTCCAGGTATTTAATCTACCCAAATAGCTATTTTAGTTCTTACTGAAAAGATGTTCCTTGGTGCCTGGATTATCATTTTATTAACAATTAATAAACTGCTACTTCTTAGTGTCATTCACTATAAGGACTTTGAGACATATGTCATTTCTCAAAATCACTGATAATGATAATCTTTCCAGCCCAATTGTTTAATATGCTCTACAATAAGTCATTAGTTTAACTAATTGCTCCACTTCCTATATGTTCACAGCAAAGGACAAGAATTCATATAAAAATGCTGGCTAGAAATAGCAACCCAAAGTAATACTCTGTCAGTACGGCTTACAGTCAGAATTTGGGATCCATAAGTACTCAAGCACTGAAATTTCATTTATTAAATGTTCCTTCTGTTGGCACATCTTGGACACAGAAATGATATGAGGAAGAGACACTGAGCTACAAAAGATATTCTGTACGTCCTGTCTAATTTCTTAAATTGTCTCTTCTACTTTATGAAAAAGAAGAGGAATATCCCCAGATAGAATTATATTATATTATTCTTCTAAATCCAAATTATTCAGAACAAAGTTGACCAGCTGTGATAGAGGAGGCTGGAGGAAACACCAACTGTTCTTTTAATAACTGGGATAAATTGCATTTGTTTCAGTGATTTCCTGTATAATAGTTTGTGTAGGGGATGTTCATGACTAAAGGCAGAGTCTGTGCATTGCCTAGTAAAGTTTCTACATGATTATGCTTTTGGATGAATAAACAAGCCCTTGAAAATAAAATTTTGAGTACTTAAGCAAACAGGACACATATCTGGTTGCTCCCTGAATTTTCCTTCCTGTTATTTTTGTTAAATATCACTTTTTTTTTTTTTTGGCCCACTTTCCAAAAGAGAGAAGGTCAAAAATTCAGAATATGTATGTATATGGGTTTGTCTGATCTGTTCCCTCTTCTCAAATGCTCTCAAACTCCTGGGCCATTTTCAACAAATTTGAAAGTTAGGGGAGATCTTGAAGAGATTATATTCTGAACAGCTTTGCAAAAATAGATGTCTAGATAGAAGAGAGAAACTATTATCTACTACTGAAGAAAAGCCTGTAGAACAAGTTCATCCCACATACCCTTACATTCATTAGTAGCACGCAGGAAAGAATCTGTGGAGCTGTTGTGGCTAGTCTATTGAAAACATCAGTTCTGTGCTTTGTAGTAGGTGAAAAGGCTAAGAGGATGTTAGGTATGTTAGGACAGGAGCAAAGAATAAGACGGGATACTGTTGTAAAACCTGAAGTGCTTGGACATGTTGAACATTGTAAGGAATTCTCCCTAAAGCACAAAGAAAGGTACAGAGAAAAATGACAAGTTGATTAAAGATATGGAATTGCCTCCTTCAAAAAGCATGAAGTTGATCAGACCTGTGGAACTGCTTCTCTAAAAATAGTTGAAATAAACTAGAACAATTTAACCTGGAAAAGGACTATGAAGGAGTATGGTAATGGTTTAAAATCTTCTGTTATTGAAAAGTGAATTCTGTGTTTCCTGTGGCACAAGATCTAGGTGTCTTGAGTGAAATTTTCAGGTAATAAATTGAAAAGAAATAAAAGAATGTTTGCTCTTGAGTTACAATTGTAAATTGCTGCAAGTATATCATGGAGGTCAAAAGTATAAAAGTTCTCCTGAGCGGATTAGAAATGGAAATGGAAAAAATGTCCTTTGAGGCACGTTAAGCATAATGCTAATGCAGCTGCCAGCTCAGGAAATCTCCAAGTAAAGGGGTGGGTTCAGCTGGCAGATTAACTAAAACACCTAAATTTGGGTTTCAGTGTGTAGGTGTCTCCATGTGAGCCAGATGCCTAAGATCCCTTTGTACTCAGTAGAGAACTAATGTGGGATTTAGTTACATAAATGCGTGCATCTAATTCCATTTTAGGCGTTGCAGAGGTTCCTACCTGGCCTCCAGCTCCTGTTCCAAGAAGATGCAGGTCTCCTTAAAAAAGAAACAACAACAACAAATGTCATACCTGTCAGTCTCACGTGGGTCTCTTTCTCAGACCATTGTAGCTGCAACTAAGCTGCTGGTTAGCAAGCTGAACCCTGCTCATAGTTGATGCAGCAAGCTACTCAGATCACCTTAAAGTAAATGTATCGGTATATTTTTTGGCATCTGTGTAACTCTCTACTTCATTAGCTGCGTTGGGTAGTTCTTTATTGGCTGTAGGAGGAACTGAGACTCACACGAAGGTGTCTATGTGGATATGCTGCAGTCTAGGTATCAGAACTTAGAGGTTTTGTTCAGGTTGCACCAGAAGGTAAACTTGCTTGACTTTTATTATGCTATTTCCTCAGGTTTCTTTAGCTAGTCAGACCACTGAGATGATTTGGCTGGTATTGATTTAGGGAAGAAGACAGGAGATTACATATGAAAAACCTTCTTAAGACACTCAGATGTTACTGATAATAATGATTATGTGAAACTTTAGATTCGTAGTGCCATTAAACCCTGTATCTGAAAACACACATATATATATTTATTTTTTTCACAAAGGTAAATCAAAATCAGTTTGGTTGATGCCAGATTTCACACTCTTCTGTGAATCAGAACAGTTTGATCTTGCTAGAATAGCAGAACTTGCCTATGGAGAATTTAGGCTAAGATTCAGGCTAAAGAAATTAAGTAAAAAATAAGTAGAAAAGCCAAATGATAAATAGATGACTTGGAAAGCAGAAGGAATTTTCTTCTCACTCTGTATCACAGGTGGAAATGATATACACTTCACTTGGAAGCCAGAAGCAGCAATATGGTGTATTTGGTATGAAGTAGTGATTTAACAAAGTTTATGTAGTAGTAATTTAACAAAGTTTATGCACCTTAACAAAGCTCTGTTGATGGCAAGGCACACTGGGTTATTTCCAGGATTGAAGACAGAGTAAGTCAGATGTGCTGGGGAGCCCCTCCTGTTTATCACAAAATTCGGAGAGGACCCTCTTGCTTTCCAAGTTCTTGCTTAGAAGAGCCTGCAACTGGATCCAGTCCTAGTCGCAGACTTGGTCAGTGGTGTATGTCTAAGGGATTACATGTGCACAGTTAATCAAAGATACGATCTTAGTGCAGCTTACAAAGTTTAGCAAGCTATTAGTTACCGAGGGTCTCTTGCAGAAAGGAATCTCCCAGTGTTGAGGGATCTCTGCTGGCAGGCATAACCTCGAGAGGCAGCTCTGCTCAAGAAGAAAACTGCACTCTGCTCTGCAGGAGAGCTCAAAGGGCTCTTGGGCTGCTCACTACTTATGGGATAAGATGATGGACTAATAGCCATATTTGCAAACCAGCTGCAGGTGTTAGTTTCTGCCAAATTTGGCATAATTCATCAAAGTTGGACATTCATCAGCTGTGGTTAGGTGGGTGCATTGCTCAAATTAGCCTTTGGCTAGTGTGGTGTTGTCTGTCTCCACCAAATCCACTTTGAGACGGATGCAGCCATCACAACCAGACACATCCATCACATCTCCCACCGGTGGTTATTGCTTGAGCAGGATTATCATAGGTCAGGCTGGGTATGTAGGGGAGGAAGCAGACTATCACAGTCTCTAGCACTTAAAATAACTCATTTTCCAGTTGGGATAACAAATTTTTTAGCACTAATGCTGTCCTGTTGGGCTGGGCTTATTTAATAAATAAGTCAGCATGCTTTGGACTTTTTTTGGATATTTTCTGTAGAGTCTTACCAGAACTGTGGAAAAGTTGTGTTTTAGCTTTGAAGTGTTGCTTACAAAATTCTGTCTGTTTTGGTATTCAGAAGTCCTCACTGCTAAGAGCTGGGAGCAAGATGTTACATTTTCTGTCATTTTCCTGAAATAAAACATTCCTTGGAATCTGTAAAGGGAGGTAATTGGCTAAAGATTCTGTCCAGCATTGCTCAACTGTGCTCAGATCACTTCACAAGCTTAGGGTCTGGGCCAGCCTGGGCTGATTTCTGTTCCATTTTGGACTATTTTGCAAAGTTTTGAGAATGAAAACAATCAGTAAAACCCAGAAATCTCATAACTGAATTGGCATTTTCCCAATGAACCATACCCAGAGTTTCTTTCCACCTGTGCTTTTACACCCAGGTAAGAAGAGGAAAATAATTTCTTTGTAGGGAAGATCGGTCTCACTTTCTTCTTTTTACAGATGTGGAAGTTAAAGCACAGAAAGATGAAGCTGTTTATTTGAGGTCATCCAGCAGAGCAGCCAGAGAGAGAAAAATAGAATGGAGTCCTTCAGTGCTCACTCTGTTGCATCACTCTGTCTTCCTATTTTGATGAAAATGTCTGAAATTTAATTGTCATAGGTAAGTAAATGAGAAAGATTCAGGTTTCTGAAGCCTTTATGTATGTCACATAAACAGGGGCTAGACAGAGTTCATACTGAGACAAGAATGCTAAGGCCTGAGCTTGTAGTAAATCTGTGCTGCCATCTCTTAAGTCTTCCTCATAGCTGCTCTAATGATCCTAATATCTTTCACCAAGGAATATCTTAACCTTGAGCCCCATACCTGTTGTACAACAGGATGATGAGCCTTTTTTTTTTTTTCATACTGAAATTTAATTTTCTGCATTCTCAAAGATGGAGCTTTCACTGTCCTAGCACTGAGAAATGCATAAAAAGAAGTATGTGTAACAGGCAGAGGGTTATCATCTGGTAATATTCATAGTTTCATTTTAGCTTTGTTTTTTCCTTTGGTTTTACAGAATTATGCTGATTCATAACCAACTGGAGGCAGTTCCTGCTTCTCTGTAGCAACTTCACTATCTGTTGTAATCACAGAATGACAGATGGATATGGTGAACTGGTCTTGTACCCCTTCTTCTTCCACGCCTCCCTCCACAGTCTGTCATTCTAGTCTGCTCTTTGTGTGATCCCCCTCCTAAAAACTTTTCAAGATGTTACAATCTTCATGAAAAACCATACAACGATTTGAAAACTGCCACGCTAGATCTTTATTTTATTTTATTATTTTTATTTTTTTCAGAAGCCTGAGATATATTAGCAATATACTTCATCTTTGTATTGTTTTTCTAAGGACGATATGAGAAATTTAATGATAGTTGTGTTTCCTATCTTATGTATATGTGAGAAACTGAGATCACATCCTTACAGCTGAGAAGACAAGAATTAGAGACATGACTGTCCCGCAAGGCTCCCTCTATTAGTCTGGGTTTATTGCTTGATGACTACATTTATTATGTGCAGTATGGTGATAAAAATTGTTCCCCCGCATCCTGTATCTGTTTTATCTATTTAGATGAGAAGCACTTGTGGGCAAACACGGTTTCTTACTGGGCAATTATGTGTCACTACAAACAAGGACACCTGACCTCTCTTACACTCTGTAGGCACAGTGCCGGTACAAAAACAAAACAAAACAAAATCGCCATCAGCAACATACTCTTCATTGCATTACTGACTTGTGGCTTACCAGAGGAATGTGCTAGGGGGGGCCACCAAAAGCAGTCTTTCTAAAATGTAAGTTTTGTAATGCCTTAAACCTGAATTCAATAAATGATGAAAACAAAGTAGAAAATGAATGTCCTAATTGGTCTATGCAGAATCAAAGTGCTGAGCAGTTCCTTTTACATTTACTCATTATTTTATCATTTAAAAATATTTAAAAGCTCAGGATAATTTTGGGGACTATTAAAAAACCCTAATGCAAATAACACGACCTTTGTGTTAATGATTTTAGTGAAGGATTATTAGTAGGCAATTAAATGAATGACCGGAGGAAGCCATTATTGTGCTGTCTGAAAATGTCAAACTCTGAAAGAAGTATACAGCCTAAGGAAAATGGTGAAAATGGAAGATAAGTACTGCTAAAATCTATCCTGGATAGATATTGCACTGGACAAGGGGATAATGTAACATTCTGTGCAGGCTGCAAGATGCCCCCTGGTGTTACAAAGCTCTGCTTTTCGTTCTGTTCAGACAACGTACACAGTCAAAGCAGGATAAAACATCCGAGGTGTTGATAGAGGAGAAGAAAGCATAAATGGGAAATGGAAGCTACAGAAAGCTGTGAAGCTGGAGAAGGGGGATTGGTAGCAGTGCCATTTAGGGTCTAGCTGCCATTTGCAATAAGAAGAATCTCAGTTTGGGGTAACATTTTCAGTAGCAGGAATTAGGGGATGCTGGGTGACAGGCAAAGAGAAGCCACAAAGGGGGTGGTGATGGGGATCCCTCATGGAAATCCCAGTTTGGAAGAGGTCAGCAGTATTTTGTGAATGCTATAGGTGAAAGGAAGGCTTGGAGAGGCTTTGGAGAGCTGCAGAGAGGTGTCTCCCTCTTCACCCTGATGTTTCTGCCATACCACCTTGAGGGTTATAGGACCCCCTGACCTGTCCTTTCCAGTCATGTCTCACCTACTACCACAAGCAGCAGTACCTCCTGTCTTCTTCTCCCTACAGCAATTTCTACTTGCTTGGGGCTGCTGAGAAAGGAAGGAGAACCAGGGAGGGGACAGGAGAAAAGGGGCTATTTCCACCAAGGGGAAAGGAGGACTAGAAAGTGCCAAGCCAAAGAGGAAGGCTGTAGGGAGCAAGGCTTTCTGTTCCTATCTCTGGGGTCAAATATCACTGCTCCTAAGGACTGCAGTTCCAGTTCTGGTGCCTATTTCCCTTTTTTTTGGAGACAGCAGTGGCTGTGTGGGCAGATGGCAGGTATGGCCTGTGTGACTTGATGTTTCTTAGTCCAGAACCATGAATAGAGTCCCTGTTTCCCCAAATAGCAGTGTTCTGACTACTAGGACACTCTCATGCAAAAGCCCTAGTTTTCAGGTAGAGCTTTTTGTATTCAAATGCAGACATTTAAGCAACAAAGGGTAAAAGTATTCCTTGTTATGAAAATGCTAATAAGCACCTAATAGTATCCTGAACACAAGAAAGGGACAGGAAAGAAGTGGAAATGAAATATTTTCAAGGTCTAAGATCAAGCTGGTTGGCATGAGGGAGATTTCCTTGTAATAGTCTTGTCAAGGAAGAGAGAAGAACATTGTAATAAGGATGAGATAAACTAAAATCCCATTCTTGCCTCTAAACTGGCATGGCTCTTCACCAACCTTAAGTGGCCGTACTCGATGCTAGCAAGTGGCTCCGTGGGGCTGGTTTTCCAGGACCCTTCTGGAAATAAAGTCACATAAACTGTGCGGAACTAAGAATGTATACACAAGAACAGAATCAAAAGCAAGTGATATTAAGATTAGAGGGGAATTCCTACATTATAACATAGCCATTTGTAACTGGATATTCAATATTTGCAACTTTCATTTGTGGGATCTTGAGATGGCAAAAAAAAAAAAAAAAGGCAGATGGTTTCATTCACAAGCTATTTTCAATATTTTCTGAATATAAAATCTCTGCCCCTTTTGTATGTCCTTATGAAGGAAAAAAGATCATGTCATCTTGTATCATTAAGAGAAAATACCAGGGTTTAGCTAGGTGGCTGATTTTTATGTCGATATAGTTTGGAGATTGATCAATTGTGAAAGTTTTGGTTCTCTTGTGAATTAGATGAGTGAGGACAGGGCACTTAGGAAATGAGGGCAAAATCCCTTTGAACAGATCAGTATTGGTTGTAATAAAATTCGCAGCATTTCATTATGTAAAAATATGTTGTAAACCAAACAATACTCGTGTTGTTCTTATAGCCTTCACTGCCAAAGGAAATAAGGTCAGAAATTCAGCTTTCATTGTAATGAAAACCTCCAGTCCTTGTGGACAGAGGAATAAGACCTTGAAAATTTGACATATGTGTAAAATGTTGTCTTATATTACAAGATTAAAATTTAAAGAGAGAGAGAGAGAAATCTCTTCTAGTGACTTTTAGTAAAGCCATTCTGAATTTACAGAGACCAACTCCTGTTTGTGTCAGTTCTCAGACGGGTAATACTGAGCATACGTCCCAAAGATGCCCAGTGGCACCGTACCAATTTGAGCTAAGCCGAAATACATTATCCCTTCTTTTAAATGCAAGTTTCTGCTCTACCATATTATAGAGCCATGTTATCTGAGAGTTGCAAAGCAATACCAGATGGTGGTTAGATGTAGTTTGGCTGGAATTTGCGGTTTCTCTTGTCTAGCCACATGTTTCACCACTTGCAAGCTTCTAAATTATATTGTTCAATTATTTGTCTCCTTGGCTCAATATTCTCTTTCTCTTCTGATTGCAATTCTTCATGCGTTCACTAGGTGGGTCCCCACAACAGTACACAGGGTGAGCAATGTGTTGAATAGCCTGA